AGACGGGTATAGTGGGATGAGCAGACGGTGTAGTGGGATGAGCAGACGGGTATAGGAAATTGCCAGCAGGATGAGGCGCCAGAACTGTCTTTTTTAACCTACTAATATCGATACATATATTGTAAAGCTATATTATTTTTACCTGTACGGAGTACCATGTCATTAATTAATTTATATTTCATTAAATTATTTACATCGATATAAGTACTATAAAGTCACTTTTCAGTGTTATGATCAGTTTGAATATTAAATTATACCTAACCAATATTAATTATTACTAACGACATTTTTCTGTAGATGCATGGCAGGCGACGAATATCACTAAATTATTATTCCACAAAGTAACTTGGAAAGTCGGAACTGTACACGATTCGCACTGTCAGTGCCTACTCCTGTATCCTACAACATTAGAGTAATAGCTAAAATACGTTAGTTGTTTTTTTTTTAGTTACAGGTCGTGGCCTTTTATGGTATAAGATATTAGTTACAGTCTGACAATGCACTCGATAAGTACTTATTATTTTCATATTATATTTTCTTTCCACAAAAATATGGTATTCGAATCGTGATATCGTATGTAAAATAGTTTTTGTGTTATGAGCATTTAAACATAGGTTTTTCGTTTTTAGAGTTACAATAGTTCTTATACCCACAACAACACGCTTAAGTACAATTGACAATATGAATTATTTATAACGAGTATACGGTATGCACGTGTAGCCACACGTCATGTAGGTATATAAAGTCTGTTTCATTATTATTTATCTTACCATTGAACTTCACGCGCACTCACCGATCAATAGTACATGGATATAATAGAAAAAAAATCAAATATAGGTTGTCAGTTGTACTGCAAGTAAAATAGATGATGCGATACTTGAAACCAACGACTGTATAATAATTGATAAGTGAAAATGTATTTTTAATTCGCTTGCTATTTATATGGTAATGCACCATCTTAGTATACACTTATATAGTTATATGGGATAAAACAATTATTATTAATCGTTACTGAGAGGTAAAGTTACGATACTACATGAATTGTTTTACTATTATAGTTTATATTATACGTCCGTCAAAATACTCCTATAATACCTATAGGTACGTGTAGGTCCACAATACTATTATGGTTTAATCTTCCTAATATTTAATCACAGAAGCAATAATCCCTTAAGTACCTACCTTATATAATGTTTAAATGATTATTTCAAGTATGATGGAGTTAATATTGTATTTTAGCTATTCGTACAATACATTGCTAATAGCTAGTATACGGGTGATCCATTTAACATAAAACACACATTATTTCAGAAGACACTAACGTTTTTGAAAATATATCTTTTACTGCATAATTTTAAGTCGTTATAAAACGACGTATTTTTACTATTTTTTAAATTTTAACTTTTTGAAAGACAACTTCCATTTTTAATTTCATATTCTGAAGCAGAATATTATAGGTACTAAGTAGGAGTATTTCTATCTACAAAAATAAATTTTCAGTCAAGTAAGTACTAAGTACCTAGTTAATTAGTTATAATTATTTAAATTTTAAAGTTTCGATGAGCTGAGTTGTGGACCAATATTTTTAGGTTTCGATACCACCTATTATACCACTCCACTCAACATCAAAATTTGAAGTAAATATCTAAAAAATATTCCACATTAAAATTAGAAACTAAAAATTCATCTTGTTGTTAAAAAAGTAAAAACGAAAAAACAAAAAAGATAAAAAAATTAAGAAATAAATATTTTTTTTCAGAAAAATGTTGTTTTTAACGACTTTAAACTGTGTAACATACATTTTCAAATAGTTTTTGAATAATAGGTGTCACATTAAATGGATTGTAATATCAATGTAATATTCTTTTCAGAAGTTATGAACAATATTGTATATTAAAACATAGCTACACCATGAAACTTACACATATCACATCAAAAACAATCTATATCCGATGCCATACTTCTATACGTCAATGCCAAAATATGACTTTCGTCTATTAGAATGCATAGTATTAATATAATATGTATTATAATTAAGGCCTGAGGGTATAATCATTATAACACGTGGGTAAGAAAAGTAGGAACTAGGACAACTTATGTGTTATAAATTATAATTTATAACTATGTAGCTTTAAGTTTTTTCACGTTTTTTATAAAATAATATTATTTGATATAGGTACCTAGTTTTGGACATATAAATGCGTTTCAAATTTATAAGACAATCATTTTATATTCTATAAATCGTATCATTATATTATTATTTAATTTGTATTTATGAGAAATTAAGGACTTTATAATAATATACGTATAAAAAAAACAATATAAATGTAATTTGATTTAACATTATATTAAATTACTTAAACAAGTATACAGTGTAAAAAAAGTCGAATAACTTATTAGTTTCCTAAGGTCGGCTTATAGTATAGTTTGTTCTTATTTTACAAACACAAAAGAATCAACTCTAAAATTACACAATTATATAGTTATAATCCAAATTAACTGTAATATTCTTGTATATACATATAATATAGATTATTCATTTTTTCAATAATATTATGCAAATGCAAACCAAAAACTTTGTTTCTCGTTAATCTACTAGTAATTTTTATCTTTATAGTATTATAATTTATAATTATATAAATGCAAGAAAGAAAATATCAATATGGATTTGTACAGTATAGATCTATACCTATACGTAAGAAAAAATCTTATGGTCAAAGTATCTATATAAATATAGGTATGGTCAAATTTAAAAAAAATTTAATTTCGATAAGCAATTTTACAAGTCAATAACTGATGGTATACCTTTACGCATAATTACAACTCTACATTACGTGACTCTTGTTCGTATATTAAGTATAATATATTAATTTCATAAATAAATATAAATTATATTCATATTTTTTTTCATATTACAAACATGTTCGCTGCATTAATTGTCGAACGTAACGCAGATCGAAGCGCGATGCGGTTTGAATAAAAAAAATAATGATATTGTCCGGACTGAAACATTGTGTGTGGTTTATGGTAAATTATAGTAAGACAGGTAAAGGTATATTATAATATTATACATCTCATCGTTTCAGTGCTAAGTGTGCCGTCACGCGCGTCAGACCACCAACGATCTGGCCGATTTGTTGGTCTGCATCGATGAAGCCGAGGCCGTCGAGTTGGAAGGCAACATGATCTTTGACTTATTTTTGGATCCGACTCGGTTGTGCACTTGCAAATTGGATTCAACGACGATCTCGTCGAAGCCCGTGTTCAACACTACCGGAAAATCAATTTTGAATTATTAAAAAAACGGTTATGAAGTAAAATTCAGTATGCCCAATATCCAATAGGTTAGGTAGCAACTGGCCATACTTGCCAGTTATAAGTACTGCAACGTCTTAAAATTTTTATCTAGTCATAAGGGGCCGGGAGGGGTTGGAGGATAATTGAAAAACCGTTTTTTATTCCTATCGAAATCCTTACGTTTCGTATATATGAAATTTTACCTTGTGTGGGCTTCTGAAGTCTGCTATTGCGGCTGTTGAAGGGAGTCGTCTGTCCAGTCGCGCTCTCCAGCGGCTTGACTCCTCCGTCTCTTGCCGGTTTGCCATCTCCGGTGTCCTGTGGTCTGCAAAGGCCACCTACGACCAATAGTAACAACATCGACAGCACGCTGAATGAAAGTCGTGGAGTGGTCAGCATTTCTAACGGATTTATTTTAATAAATAACGATACTAGATTAGTATGTAAAATAATCCCCGGCCAGGAGGTAAATACGGAATAATAATAATAATAATAATAACAGTAGAAACAGTTATGTATTATTATGATAGTCGGTCGACGGAGCTGGCGATGGTTCGTGCGCGGATGCTGATCCAATACTGCAGCCCACCACCACCGCCATCCGCTTGCCCACCTACTGCCGTTGTAGTCGCCTATATCGTCGTCACAGCAGCGGTCATACTCCAATCTCGCTTGGTAGAGGCTATATAATAATATATATAATATATATTATACGACAGAGTATTTATCAATATATTACGTGTGTCAGTGTGAACGATATTACACGCACTCATATTTTATATAACCCACAATATTATTGTTCGTATACCACAAATACATGTCTATATGCGGCCGTATAGCTATGTATAGGTACTGCTGCAGTGACCGCGCTGCCAAGACTCAGTGAAAGTATAATATTATTATATTAAACCTACTGAAATGCGTATTATATTATTATTACTACCTATTTTCGAAGTGTTCCATAGATACGGATAAGGTTTGCCGAGTGTTAGCAGTAAGGAGTTTTTCGATACGTCCTACGAGTTATATATGTACAGAAACCGATTTCAGAATAATAATTATGCTGTATTATTATTGTAGATAATATATTATTATGACACTTTATTGTACCATGTTACCTGTATTATATATTAATTGCAGAAGTGCAATACTATGGCGTCAAACCGAGTGCATAATTATAATATATAGAGTCAGTGCTATGTTACGCCTTACGCGGTGCTCAGCACAATATTATATATTCATAATATAATGTTATGGAAATCTTTGTTTTCAACAAATTACAAAATAATGATATAAACTTAGGAGCAATCCTGAGGTTACTTATATTAGGTTACATTTTTAACTACAAGATAATTTGTTAAATTCCCTACATCTGTAGGCCTTATCAACTTCCAAAAAGCTGTAAACATAAAAATATTTTGCTGAAGATTTCTTACGATAGTTTTAAATCTATCATATTGTAACTCAAGTAAATATAATATCTTTATTTCCCTTCACATTCAGTGTCTTTGTTTATGTGTGTGCACTATATCCATTGATAATGCATTTTATTCACCTGTACAGGTAAGAAAATTATGTCTATAAATACTTCTTATAATCCCATCATACATGTTTCGTAATAAAATACAAACCTCGGGTGGATATTTTCAACCCAGGGTGGGAATGCACAAGAAACCAGTTTCGACGAACGTCGTCTGGTCGGAGACATAAACGATATAATATATTATGCGGTTGTTGACATCGTCTCCGTCGGCCTTTGTACCACTGCAGCAATAAAGTATTATGAAAAATGTAATCATATTTTAATTGGTAGGCACTAATTAGCTGTATATTAACCGACGATGCCCAAAGATAAATTAATCCAATATGGCCGGGAACATACTACTTGCATCCGAAATTATTACCAGTAACTGAATTGCGTCCACAAAAAAAGATTCAAAAAGGGTCATAGTCTATTTTTTGAGTCGAACAACATATTATTGATGATGATAATTAGTTGTTACGCAGTAATCTTTTCAAACAAAATCGAGATCAACTATATAAGTTGACTCCTAGCTATGAACTCTGGATAATACTGTGTGGATTCATGAACAATAATTTATATAGGTACATAATTGCGCGTACCTAAGTATGTATTTCCAAAAAAATATTTACTGTAACGAATACATATTAATACAAGAGAAAAGGAGAATATCGTTTTTAAATGACAATGTGAAAGATGTTAAACCATTATGAGTAGATTATACAGGGTGATTGACCATGTATTCTCACCACCACATTTTTTTCCTTTAATAACGAATTTACTCAAATTCTGATTTTTGGAATGTTTAAATATACTTAAAGACTAGATTTTAAAATTCTTGTGATTATTTGTATTACTTAAAAAGTGTATTGTGAAGATACAAATGCCTGTTTTTAAAATAAGAACTCCATCCTCCCTATCTCTTTTTAGTGTAAATTAATGAGTGTATTTATATTTTTTAATTTTGATGCTAGTTCAAAATACAACGTTTCTTAACATGTTATTACTAAAATTATATTAAAATGTTTATGATAAGGATAATAGTCCTTAAAAATTGTTTTACAAAAGTATAAAATATATGTAATATTAGATCTAGTCTTTTTTATATACTCGGACCATTTTAATTATTGTTGTTGTTGGATTATTAATAATTACTACAATTTTCAAATCCCCCCTAACATTTTCTGGACCCCTCATCATAATTATATTCATAGTCCACAATATTAATAACTCAAAAACGACTCATCATATTTTCCAAATTAATATATCTATAGACTATGAGTTTTAATTGACAGACAACAGTTGTAAACTGTAATATTATACTTATATAATATAAGACTTGTTAGTTACAGCTTTACAAGATACGTTATTCATTAGGTTCATGTAAGATTTAGAGAATTAAATAAAAATATTATTTAGTAAATATTCAGTGAAATATATTCAATTATAATAATATTTTCCCATCTTTTAAGTATTTCAATGATGAAATAACAATTTAAATATTGACACCCCAACTAAATTAAACTACAATCTTAGGCTCTACAAATATAAGAATTTTTCCTATTCCTCAGCTAGTCCTGAGTACGCCTCTACTGTAGAAAGCTAGCTATACATACTTAGACACTAAGTACTTAGTATTAATACTTACTATCTTGTGTTGGCCACAAATATAATATTAAACGTAGGTATACAAAAAAACAAGTTATTCATTTTATTTTATATTATAATACATACCTTGTATAATATGCTGGCTAAATAATATAATGTTTGTTATTAATTTTATTTTAGTAATATATATAATATATTATATTATTATCAGTGGCGTATTTAGGGGGGGTGTCCTGGGGGTTAAACCCCCCCCCCCAATTTTTTTCTTAGTTATATTCATTACTGAAGTATCACAAAATACGAATAACGAAATATTTTAAAACTGCTTTGAAAAATGAAAATTGAATAATGTATATTTTATATTTTCATCTTATACCAGATAATAGTCAATAGGTATTAGCATTGATTATATATATTGCGTGTATATATATATAAATAGCTCTCTAGGTGCAGCCGTGCAGGCAGTGGCGAAATAACAGAATATTGTGAACTATGTAATTCTTAGAATTGTATTATCGTTTCGGCTAGCCGTATTATAGGCTATCGCCTTATTATCTTTCTTCAAATACAAAAATTATTATTATCTACGATAGCAAAAGACCAACGATATAAAGTGTACTATGTACAGTTGTCAGTTGACAGTTGTACACTCGAAGTACAACAATACGAGACGAATTGGCTGTAAAAAAAAGACGTCTACCTTTAATACTGTGAGGTTAAAGTTTTGAAATTTTAGTATTTTTTTTCTTTTAATATATCTATAATATTATATAAGTATACAAAATAAATTAAACTCATACGAAAAAATACTCAGTAAATTTAAGTGTTAGATTGGTTTTATTTTATTCAGTAAAATTGTTTATACTTTATTCCTGTCATAATTGTATTATAATTAAAAATGTAAGTAGCAATCCTATAATTTTTTTACAAAAAAATGTCCACTTATATAAGGTATTAAGATGTATTATAATCAGGTATGAATTAGTGGTGAAACTATGTTAATATTTGTCATTAAATAACTGTGGAGATCAGGAGTCAGGACACCCCCCAAAAAAAAACCCAAAATACGCCACTGATTATTATAACCGTTTGTTTCTTATTAATGTTATTACCTATTATTTCAATTTTGTTCAAAATAAATTTAAATAATATACAACAGTTTTATTATTCATGAAAGATATTTATATTTTTCCGATATTATATTGTTTTAATTTGTAATTTGTAAAAGTTTTTCCGAGATTATTTTTAACTTTAATTACCTAGATTCTTTTTGTTTGGATATGCATTATTTCAGTTTACAATATAAAACCATATACCTATCCGTTTTAGATTCATATATATGCACAGATCAATAATAAATACAATAAATTATTAACAAAGGATTTGGTTTGTCAGAATACAGATCTGAAATTGTTTCACCTACCTCAATGTTTCATCACTGTAAGTTAAGCGTTATGCGGTCATGCCTTTATAGAAAAGTAATTGAGTCCAAGTGATAATAAGAAACTATTTTTGTATATTAAGGCTTGGTAAGTTAATGTTATGTATTTTGTAAATATATGTATTTAGACATTAAGTATTATAATATAAGTATTACCTAATATTATTAATAGTATATTTTGTATTTATTGTAATAGTACACAATATTATTCATATCAGTAGTTACTCACCTTATAGCTTTAAACTTATTTGATAGACTAGCACTTAGAAGGCCATCTGCGATGGTGAAAGATGATAATTCTAGAGGATTTCGGTGACTTAGTGATTGAAATGAAAATTGTTCACGGCGCATCGTCTCCGTATTATTCGTGTCGAGTTTAATAATTATTTTACTTAATATTGTCGTAAACTCGTGCATCACTATTCATCTCCATGCCCATTATATCATGCCAGCCGGCCTCACAAACACAGAAACGTCGTTCCGGGTATGTAAAAAAATATTTATGGTGGAGTTTTGCGACATTTTAGGCAGGTTGAATAGTGAGGTCCTATTGGAGTGAGTGATTGGAAACTTAGTGATATAGAAATGTATCACTAAATGATAATAAATAATATATTGATATATTAGTATCTATAATATAATACATACTTAATATAATAATAATAATAAAGTTATCGTCATAGTATTAGGACAGTGTTGAGTTTAACAAAGTATCATCTTTTAAACAATTGTTATTATAATTTAAAGACGTAAATAATTAATTATTCCCACACTCGTCACATGGATGTCATAAATTCAAGGAGTAAAAACGGGTATTCCACAAAAATG